GGAGAGGTGACCACTTTGAGAGTGTAATAGCCTGTTGTCATGAAAAAAGTCTGTATTACTTGAACCAAAAAATATTGAATAACGATTCCGGTGCTTTCTGTTCAGTGGAGAAATGCTTAATCTCCTCCATGTTTGGACTGAGAATTCATGGGAGGCCAACGTCCAGAGCCTGTGTTAGAGCTAAGTGTGTTTTGTGGACCATTGGCTACTGCAGGAGTAAAATAGCAGGGTATAGAGGCAATAGAACCCAGCCAGTGGCTTTTGGGATGCCTTGATAAGCCATCTCATCCAAGGTATGTATGGGGCTGCCCTGATGACAAGAGCAGGGTCATAGCAGGTTTCTGAGGTGTGACTGACTAAGCCTACCGGTTCCCAGTGACTGCCAAAGAGGCAAAGAACAGGACTACCTTGCTGTACCTGAATGGGTGGAAACAGAGATAAACATACATATTAGAAATACATATAGACATATACTATAGATACGTTATATAGATAGATAATGCATAATTACATATATGTAATACATAGGCTTTAATTATAACATATATATATAGCTACATACATTGTATATGTTTATGAATACTTATATTTATAAATCAGTTATCTAGCTTATATGGTTTATAAATATTTTCAATTATAGGATATCTACATTATATATATATCTATATATAATGTATATATAAAATATTACGCTTTTCATTCCATGTTGCTTGATGGACAGTAATAAATTTTGCATGGTACATACTTCAAGAATCCGTAAAACACTTAAGCATAAATTATTGTAACTCTGGAAAAAAGAGTGAAATCATATGGTCGAGGGAATTTAGAGAAAAGTTCTAAACAACAAAAAAATCAACTCTGTACTCAACTGCATTACCTGAATATTACTTACATCCTTAGTCAAGCAAGTTTAGATGAAGCACGACTTACACAGTCATATGACTGTGTGCATCACTTCCACTGCCATTACATTTGTTCAGGCCATCGTCATTTGTTTGGTCTCTGTGCTTGATTCTGACACCCACCTACACCTTACAGGTTGTTCTCCCATTAGCCAGAATTATACTCAGAGTAAAAGCAAAAGGATTTGCCTCTGATCTCACTTAAGAGTTTTCCTTTGTTCATCTTGCCGCATGATGGGAGTATGTCTTCTTGCTTAACTCTAGTCTCAGGGTGATTTCAATGGTAATTTTGTCTCCCAGCAATTCTCTTCCCACAAACATTTGCATAGGTTAGTTCCCCATGGGCTTAGTCTTTGCTGGAGTAAAGTATTTTTAAAGGCATGTAGCTCCAAAAGTACAGTTTCCAACATCTTTACTTATGAATGTATTAATTTCTAACCTTTCACCTATTAATTTATCAAAATATATTTTACCACTGAACACTTCACTTTTGCATTGTTTCCTGCCTTCCTGTAGTAGCTTCATGATAGTAAGCATACTTACATGTTTTTAAAACCAATAACCCTTAGCAAACACGAAATACATGTTTACACACTTAATATATTATGAACGAATGACCCCTCATTGCTTTTGCTCTATATGCTGGATCATTATGTTGAAATGTAAAGAGTATAAACTTCTTTAATACACTGCTTAACAGATTGTTAAATGTGATTCAATTTTTAAAGGTCATCTTGTCTACCATCTTCCAGAAGAAAAAAAAATGTTTTATTTTTTTTAAAATATGCGAGTTTTGCCTTGAAATATTTCTGTGGGAAAATTTTTCTGTGGCTCCCACTGATGAAAAGAAACAGGTCTACAGGTCTAATATGGTAATGTCAAATTTTGTGGATCCAGCTAATTTTTCTGTCATCATGCCTTCTGTATCTTTTTACCAACTTTCTTCAAAAAGCACACTTTCCTGTCCAAATATTTATTGTGTTAAATGTTCTTAATATATCTGTAGAGCTTATTTCTGTAAGAAAGAGCTGCTTTTCTGACAAAGCCCATTTTAAAAATGTAATCAATCCAGACAGGTAGCAACTCATGTATTCAATATAGTCCTGCTGTTTGTGATACAGGTTTCTTCAGGATCATTGACCATAATATCTCGTAATTAATTACTGCACTATGCTGTACACTTGATTTATTTCTTATCAAACAGTAAGTTTACAAACCATTGGGCTCAGGGTTGGATTTTCTGAGAACCAGGAGAAGGGCTGTTTCCTGTAAGTACCCTATTAAGATAGAATACCCTGCCTGTACAGGTATTCTGTCTAATTGCAAGTTTCTTAATTACAGATTTTAAGATTGTTTTATGTTAGTCTTTTAAACTGGGAAAATGCTCTCACAATGTTTGTTAGGAAAGAATATTGAAATGATATAATATTCCTTCTCCATCACGAATTTCATTCATATTTTAAATGTTTTAACTGTGTGTGTGTTTGTGTATGTTTGTGTGATGGTCTCTCTCTCTGTCCCCTAGGCTGGAGTACAATGGCAAGATCTGCTGGGATTACAGGTGTGTACGACCTACGCCCAACTAGCTTTTGTAATTTTACTAGAGACCATGTTAGTGAGGCTAGTTAAGTTGTCTTCTACGACCAAGTGTGGTGGCATGTGACAGTAATCCTATGCACTTTGGGAGGTTGAGGTCCAGGAGTTCAAGATGAGCCTAGGCAATGGCGAGACCCCACCACTAGAAAACGTAAAAATTAACTGGCTGTTGTGGCAGGTATCTGTGGTTCCAGCTACTGGGACCGCTGAGATGGGACTATCACCTGAGCCTGGGATTTCAAGGCTACAACGAGCTCTGATTATGTCCTGCACTCCAGCTTGGAAGACAGAGTGAAGATCCTGTGTAAAACATAAATAAACAAATAATAATTATTTTATCTTCTTAAGTGTGGCTATCTTACATACTAAATATTATCTTCTTCAAAATGTACTACCTGATATGCTACATTAGGCTTTAAGAAGAAGACCCTTATATTCTTTCAAAAAGTGGTTCTTTGTAGACATGTGTCATTCATGACTAATTTTGTTGTGTTATGTTGGATCTTCATAACTGATAATAAGCCCTCATAACTGCAGATTTTCACTTTTATAAATTCTCAGTTTATATTTGCTTAATTAGATGATATTTTTTTTTCTAACAACCGTGTCCGGGAAACTAACCATAACTCTGTTCTTCCCATTGTTTCTAAACACTTTTTATGTATTGTAGTTATTCATTTTTATTTTTAGGAACATATTCACCCAGATCGGAGTGAAGTGATAAGATCATGGGTTACGACAACCTCTAACTCCCAGGCTCAAGCAATTCTTTCACTACAGCCTTCCAAGTTGCTAGAGCTACAGGCACAGTCCAAATACCCAGGTAATTTTTTTTTTCCCTAGAGACAATGTCTTGCTGTGTTCACCAGGCTCATCTGGAACCCATGGACTTTGAGTGCTCCTCCTGCCTCAGTTTCCCAAAATGCAAAGATTACAGGCATGGGCCACTGTTACCTTCAATGACCTTTTAAATAAGTTCGCTACTTCTCGTTTTTTTTTAATCTGAGTTTTTAAGTGAAAATGCTTCTTCCTTATTTCTGATTAAGAAAAATACATGTCATTATGCACCTTTGTAGCATTGTTAATATGTTTCACCAGGACTGGAGTACAGTGACTTGATCATGGCTAACTGTAGCCTTGATATCCACAAGTTGTGCAATCTTGGCTCAACATTTGAAAAAGATACTATAAATCTCAACCACCCAACAATGCTAATTTTCCCTTTATATAGTACGTACCCAGCAGTCTTCTTGTGGCAGAGTCCAGATACATAAAGTATTATTTCTAGCCATGTGAATATGTTGATCGTGGCAGAATGAGAGGTCTAGAAGCTGAACTGTCAACTTCTTGATACTGCCGCCAAAGTTATCGTGCTGTGAAGGAATAGAGATGAGAAGGATATGAGATATGCATTCTTCCATTAGTCAGCACGTAACATGGCTTTCCTATAAGATTTTATTTTATAGCTTTCAATTATGACAAATATTCCTGAGATAGTTAAGATTCTCCCTTCCCACCATTTCCTTCTGATACATGCTTACTTCATAGACTCTTAGATTTTGGCCAATCACTTTTTTTTTTTTTTTTTCAGAAACTTTGGTCTGCTTTATTTATTTATTTATTTATTTATTTAATTTTTTATTGGATTATAGGTTTTGGGGTACATGAGCAGAGCATGCAAGACAGTTGCGTAGGTACACACATGGCAGTGTGCTTTGCTTTTCTTCTCCCCTTCACCCACATTTGGCATTTCTCCCCAGGCTATCCCCCACCTCCCCCTCCCACTGGCCTTCCCCCTTTTCCCCCCAATAGACCCCAGTGTTTAGTACTCCCCTTTCTGTGTCCATGTGTTCTCATTTTTCATCACCCACCTATGAGTGAGAATATGCGGTGTTTCATTTTCTGTTCTTGTGTCAGTTTGCTGAGGATGATGTTTTCCAGATTCATCCATGTCCCTACAAACGACACGAACTCATCATTTCTGATTGCTGCATAATATTCCATGGTGTATATGTGCCACATTTTTCCAATCCAGTCTATTATCAATGGGCATTTGGGTTGATTCCAGGTCTTTGCTATTGTAAACAGTGCTGCAATGAACATTCGTGTACATGTGTCCTTATAGTAGAACGATTTATAGTCTTTTGGATATATACCCAGTAATGGGATTGCTGGGTCAAATGGAATTTCTATTTCTAAGGCCTTGAGGAATCGCCACACTGTCTTCCACAATGGTTGAACTAATTTACACTCCCACCAACAGTGTAAAAGTGTTCCTTTTTCTCCACATCCTCTCAGATGCTGGCCAATCACTTTAAACCAAGTACTAGAAGACAGAATAATTTCAATGCCTGACATTGTGACTTTACTTCCATTTTTACCCCTACAAAGTGGAGCAAATGGATTCAATTGCTTACAAGATTTTTATGTACTTCTGATTGTATTTTTCCATTAGTTCACCTGAATTATATTAATGATATAGAAAATATGACTCGTGGCTTACTCTGATATTGGTATACCCTGCAGTGTCTCTACAAGCAATTATAACATCTCTTATCCATCTCTTCCAAAACGTGTTATAAGTGTGAGCATCTTCCATTTCTTCATTTCTGAAAGGGAATTGGAGAAGGACCATTCGTATATCTCCCATTTCTGGATCTGTTCCAATTTGTGGATTAAAACTTGGGTGCAGGCAGGTTTTGTGACCAAGTAAAAAAACTTCCTGGTCAATAACTCCTGAAATGTTAGAGTGCACATGCTTCCTAATGAAATGGAAACATAGAGAATGTAATAAAAATTAAAATGAGAAAAGCATTTCATTTTACCTCAATTTAAACTTAAATGGTTGCTGTATATAATTTTCCTAGTTCGCACATGGTTGGTCATGCCTGTAATCCCAGCACTGTGAGAGGCTGAGGAAGGCACATTACTTCAGGTCAGGAGTTTGATACCTGTCTGGAAAATATGTTGAAACCTCATCTCTACTAAAAATACAGAGAAGAAGAAAAAAACAAAAGCTAGGCCGAGTGGCATGCTCCTTTAGTCCCAGCTACTAGGGAGGCTCAGCAAGAGAATCACTTGCACCTGAGTTGGTGGAGGTTATAGTAAACTGAAATTGTGGTACTGCACTCCAGCCTGGATGACAAAGCAAGACTCTGTCTCAATAACAACAGTAATAATGACAAAATAAATTAAGTAAATTGTTATTTGGCAATTTAATCCAACAAATTTCTATTGTATATTACTTTATACTGGTGCTCTCTATTGTACTATTGTACACCAAATAGTGTTTAACTTGTAAAGCTTCAAAATTCATTCTTCCTACGCTTTATTTCGTACTTTTTCTTTGTTTGTTTGGTTTTTAAGACAGGTTCTCACTCTGTCACCCAGACTGGAATGTAGTGCCTTGATCATGGCTAACGGTAGCCTTGACCTCTCTGCTGAAGCAATCCCCCTACCTTAGTCTCCTAAGTAGCTGGCACTACAGGCATATGTCACCAAAACTAGCTAATTTTTAAATAAATATTTTTTTGAGACAATGTCTTTCTGTGTTGTTCAAGTTGGTCTTGAACTCCTGGACTCAAGTGATCCTCCCACCTCAGCCTCCCAAGCAGTTAGCACCATAGGTGTGTACAACCAAGCATGGTTAATTAAAAAAAAAATTACACACACACACACACACACATTAAATTAATGTGTAATATATTAATATAAATAAATAAAATATATATGTATACTGGTGCTCTCTATTGTGCACTGAATAGTGTTTAACTTGTACATCTTCAAACTTCACTCTTGCTACAATTTGTTTTGTTCCTTTCGTTGTTTGTTTGTTTGTTTTTAGACAGGTTCTTACTCTGTCACCCAGACTGGAGTACAGTAACTTGATCATGGCTAACTGTAGCCTTGACATCTACAAGTGGTACAATCTTGGCTCAACATTTTATAAATATACTATAAATCTGAATAATATAAAATATGTAAATATATATGTAAATACTACATATCTAAATATTACATATTATTTTTGATATTTTAAAATATTGTTCAATATTTTCTTTTAGTTTGCATTTTTTGTTGGTTTGTTTTTTGAGCTAGTAGGGTCTCACTTCCATTACCCAGGTTGGAGTGCATTGGCATGATAATGGCTGAATACAGCCTCGAGTTATCAGGCTCAGGTGACCCTCTCACCTCGACCTTGAAAGGAGATGAAACAGGTTCTCAATCCACTTGCCCAGGCTTGAGCGCAGTGATATAATCTTGATTCATTGCAAACTGCCTGTCAGGTTCAAGCCACCTTCCTGACTCAGCCTGACAAGTATTTGTGAGTACAGGTGTGCACCCTCATCCAAGTTAATTTTTGCATTTTGGTAGAGATGGCATTTCACAATATTGCCCAGGCTGGTCTCAAACACCTGGGCTCAAACAATCCTCGTGCCTTGACCTCCCAACACACTGGGATTGCAGGCGTGAGCCACCATGCCTGGCCTAATATTTTCTAAAGAACACCAAAGTCCCTTTCATGTACTGAAATCCAATGCAAATATAGTTAATGAGATGAAACAGATCTAAAAAGTAAAAATAAGCATGATTCCCTGCTCATGGTTCTAAATACTTACAGTTTAGTCAGACAGCTGGCTGTAGAGAGGATCCAGAATCATGCCCTGGCAGCATTCAGCCATGGACGCTAACCATGAGATGTTGCTGGGTGCTGACAATGGGGCAATCATTGGGGCCAATGAGTATCACCACTGCTTTTGAGAATAAAGTACTGGAAGGGTAGGTGGAAAGGTAAATATAACATCAAAAACAGTATCTTTTCAAACAATCATATCAAGAACAACATAGAGAAGGATGATAAGTAAAGGAAAACATGATCAAAATGTAGAATTAGGTGAAAGAGAACTATTAAAAATAGTAAGTGACAAAAAAACACAGGTATATTTTAAAAGGAAGATATTTTAAAGACAAAGCAAAAAATTAAATACTAAGATGAACAAGTCATACATAGCAAAGAGACTTGCTTGAGAAAAAAACCCTCCCACGTATCTGTAACTTACCACCAGAACAGTGAAGAAACAATCCCCAAAATTGGTAGAAGAGAAGTAGACCTTGCATGTTGGCTCAAGTGTGTGTGAATAGAAGATAGGTTGCAGGAAACTACCTATGAAGGTGGAGATTGAAATGGCAGGATATAGAACGTCTGACATCATAAGCGGTCCTTGTGAGATAACTGCCTTCCATTATGACCAAGCAAGTGTAATATGCTAGAAAAAATTTAGCAAAGTTAAAGGGGTGCTAAAATTATAACTTTTTCATTAGTTTAGTGTTCACCATTACTTTTGGAGTGGAGACATATAAAATCACAGTCCCACCCCTTGTACAAACTTCAGTGTCTATTTGTGTCAGTATGTAGCTTTTTATTTCTTTTCTTGAGATACAATCTCATTCCTGCTGGAGTGCAGTTGTGTAATCTTGGCTCACTGCCCCTTCTGCTTCCAGAGTTCAAGACCTTCTACTGTCTTGGCCCCCTGAATAGTTGGGATTATGTGTGCACACCAGCACACCTGGCTCATTTTTGTATTTCAGTAAAGACTGGGTTTCACCGTGCTACATATACTTCACCATCCTACTGCTTCCGCCTCCCAAAGTGCTGGCATTACACATATGAGCCACCATGCCCAGCCAATGTATAGCGTTCTTTATCCACCAAATATTGCTTAGTAATTAAACACGATTAGATGATCTGCATTATTTGACATATTTTCTTACAGAAGTTAAGGAAATATTTATAATTATTTTAAATAACCCACAAATCAATATAAAAAAAAAACCGTAGCACATTTCACTCAGTTATCTGTTGACATACTGACATTATTATATCTCTACTCTGAAACACTCACCTTGTACATTTACGGAAAGTATCTCAAGACAAATTGTCTGGCTTTTCTTTAATGGCAATCTGAAGCAAAGAGCTACAATTCAGTAAATATTTCCCAAGCCTCTCAAATGAAGTGTGCTTTATGTTCGACACATATATGACGAGAACCAGCCCTTGCTGTCAGGGAGTTCTCAAGGCAGGAAAGAACAATTCATTTACAGTAAGGGCAGTTCCTACTAAGGAAAATAGAATAGCTAAAATCAATTGTATATGAATAAATTTGTATACCACACTATATAAGCTGTGAGATAACAGACAAGGCAGGTTAGGTAAAGTAATGGTTTTACCCTAGACCCAAATTTATTCTATCATTCCACTTAACAATTGTAGCACTTTATTTTCAGCTTCAACATGACTCGCTGTACCTGTCTTTATGTCCTTGTGCAAAATAGCAAGAAAAGAGCAAAGAAAATGGGCATTCTTTTTGAGACAGTGTCTTACTCTGCAGCCCAGGCAGGAGTGCAGAGGTGTGATATCATCTCATTCTAACCTCCCTCCCCAAGTTCAAGTGATTCTCATGCCTCAGCCTCCTGAGGAGCTGAGATTACAGGTGCACACTATCACTCCTGGATAATTTCTGTATTTTTAGTGGAGGCGGGCTTTCACCATGCCGGCCAGGATAATCTCACATTCCTGCCATCAACTGATTCACCCGTGTCGGCCTCCCAAAATGCTGGGATTACAGGCGTGAGGGAGCCACCACGCTCAGCTGAAAAACCTTACACTCATAAACTGAGCAAAACTTACTAAAAGGACTCCTACAGGTTGGGCATGGTGGCTTATCCCTATAATCTCAGCACTTTATAAGAGAATGAGATAGGCAGATCATTTAGGTTCAGAAGTCTGAGACCAGCCTGGGCAGTATGGTGAAGCCCCATTGCTGCCTAAAAATGCAAAAATTAGGCAGGCATGGTGGTGAGTGCCTGTAATCCCAACTTCTCTGGGAAGCCGAGGCAGAGAATCGCTTGAACTCTGGAGGCAGAGGTTGTTTAGTGAGCTGGGATCCTGACACTGCACTCCAGCCTGGGCTGCAGAGGGAGGCTCTCTCAGAAAAGGAAAAAAAAAAAAGCCTCCCACAAAAGTATCAACACGTAGACTTTGCTTTAGTTATTCCACTGATTCCCCCTCTTCCTTTGTTCTTATTATGTGAAAGGCAGTACCGTTAATGATCCAAGCTTTATATAATTGTCAAAAATATTTAAGTAACACATTTGTTATCTAGCTTTTAGCTAGATATCTAGCTATCTCAATGTTGTGATAACAAATAATGGAAAATAATAAAAAAGTATTAAACTAATACTTGAATTTGCATCTGAATAATAAGTAAAAATAAAGTGAACATAATGGGACAAGTAAAATAATGTTCAAGACTCTTTGGATAACATGTTTGGGGACCTGTGTCAGGAAGTAAAACGTGTAGTATTCAATTTATTTAGGTAAAGCCAGTGCAAATAACATAAGAAAGCAGGAAAAAGGAGAAGCAGTGTAAAGTTCGAGTGGAATGTATATACCCAGTGCAAGTGTGTGGACATGCAAAATGCTGTCTTCCTGCAGCAGTAGTCTTGGGTTTGTAAGTATTCTAAAAGGAATTTGAATAAAATCTAAAGGACTGAAGTGACATCAGCTTGGTGGCAGGCTAGGAGCTCCAGGCTCCTATGTAACACCAAAAAACCAACAGATTGGCTACACCGTACCTTTGCTTGGAGGTAGGAGATCCATAAGCCAGTCAAAGAGTAACTAAACCCCATCTAACAAAGGATAACAACAAAAAAATCCATGCTCACAGCACTAAGTAATCCATGGCACTTTTTGCTCACTCTTGTTCTGCCTTTCTGATTTCCCATGTAGTGGTGAAGACTTTGGGGAGAAAACCACTCATTTTCTACTCCTTCCTCAGGATGAAAGGAAAAGAATTCAACTTGTTTGTAACATACTGTCTAACTGAAGGCTACCAAAGAGACTAGTTTCTGTCTTGCCTAACTTAAGTGTCAGGAGATAATTGATGTTTAATAGTTTGGGGGAGGCCAGTGAAATAAATGGCAAGCACTTTGCGACATGTAAAAACTGTTTGACAATGGGAGCAAAACAATGGGAACATGTAGACACAGGGAGGAGAACGACACAAACTGGGGGCCTGTGTGGGTTGAGTAGGACAAGAGGGAGCATGAAGATAAATAGCTAATTCCGGAGGGACTTAATACCTGGGAGTAGGGTAGATAGCATGATAATATTGAGACTGTTAGGGAAATAACCTCTCTAAAACCAGCCGTGAGTACAGAGGAGTAGGGGGAAAAAAATGTGCACATACTTAGTGAAGACAGATACACTTGGAAATGGCCTGAGAAGTCCCAGACTTAGCACCGTAGTGATTCTCACAGCAAGTATACAATTACAAGAGGCAGCTGTTTCTTCTCCTGAAATACCCAACGAAAGAATAATGCATGCAAAGGCAGAGGTAAATATGGCAAACTCAAAACAAAATATAAGACTTCAGAAACCATTGCTAATGAAACAGAGGACTGAGAGTTACCTGACCAAAACATTATTTTTAAACTTGTATTTATGTTATGTATGTGTATAGAACTGTATGTATTTAAAATGTAGAATATGAGGCTTGTATTTATAAATTGTGAAACGTTGACTAGAGTCAAGCAAATGAACATATCCATCGTCTCGCATGTGGTAACCCCAATTTTATGGCAAAATCTAAGTACATAAATCCACTGTTTTCAAATGTATCATATACAGTATGATACTGTTGTCCTCATACTGCATCTCAGATCTCCAAGCTTACTTATTCTAAATATATGCAACTTTGTTCCCTGTAACCTGTAAGTTCTCATTTTATCCCCATGTTCACGACCCATATAGTCAACATTTTATATATGTGTATTCAGTTCTTTTTGTTTGTTTTGTTTTCCACATACATGTGAAATGACAAGTTATTTTGCTTTCTGTTGCTTTATTTCAGTTAGCATGATTTTCACCAGGTTCATCCATGTTGTCACTAATGACTGACACTCAACTTTAAAGGCTATATAATACCCTGCTGTGGATATGTGTGTTTCTCTTTTGTGAATATACCTAGCAAAAGGATTTCAGGATCATGTGTTAGTTCTATTTTCAGATTTCTCTAAGGAGCCTGCATACGATTTTCCCAAGTTGCTGTGCTAATTTGCCTTCTTTCCAACAGTAATCAATGGTTCACTGTTCTCTACATCCCCATCATCTATTCCCTTTTGATAATACCCATGCTACCAGGTACGAAATGAGATAGCACTGAGGGTTTACATTATATTTCCCGGATTGTTAGTAATGTTGAATACCACTCATATACATGCATGTTGGTCACTTATATATCTTCTTTGAAAGAGGTCTATTCAAGTCAATTCTTTTTTAAATGTGTATTTTATTCTTTGCTATCAAGTTTTCTGAGTTTCCCATGCATTTTGGATATTAACCTCTTATGACATGTATGTTGGTAATCATTAGCTCCCTGTCTGTAGGCATTCTTTCCATCCCGTTGACTGTTTCCTTTTGCTGAATGTATCCTCCCACAAAACTTGTGTTTCAAATTAAATTCCAGTATAATAATACTAAGAGATGGGGTCTTCTGCAGGTAATTAAGTCAAGAGAGCGGCCTCATGAATGATATTGTAGTAGTATAAAGTGGTTAGATGGAACTATCTAGGCTGGTTTTGCACTTCTGTTCTTTCCACCATATGAAGACAGGGTAAATGTCTTTGGAACATCCTCTTTGGAAGATACAGCAACAAGCAAGTGGCCATCTTGTAAACAACAGCCCTCATCAGATGACAACCTATGTTACTGATTAGTAGGTAAAAATTAATACAACCACTATGGAAAACATATGGAAGTTTATTAGATAGCTGAAAACAGACCTATTATTTCACTCAAAAGCTCACTACTGGATATCTGCCCAAAGAAAAATAACTCATAGTCTCCAAAAGACATCTGAACGTGTATGTTTATTGCAGCACTAGTCAGAGTAAAAAGTCATGGAACTAACCTAAGTGTCCATCAACAGAGGAGTGGGTAAAGACAATATGGAGTACATACTCATCATGAAATACTATGCATTCATAAAGAAGAATGAAATCACTTTCTTTGCAACACATGGATAGAATGGGAGGCTATATTGTCTTAAGTGACACAACTCAGAATCACATTCAAAATGTGTGTTCTCACTAATAAGTGGGTGAG